ATTGAAGGTTAAATTTCGTCTTAAATATAATATTTTAATCCTTTTTTTCTTTCAAATCTATAATTTTTTTAAAAATATATTTAATAACTATAGATATCAAGGAGTTATAGTTAGTCTACAAAAGTTTACATACTTGTTACATATAGCTAGCTCAATTAAGTTTTTTAATATTTCCAAATTAATTATCTAGTTTTTATAGTTCATAATAATAATTAACTATAGACAGCTAATGTATAGAAGGTGAAGAATTCAATGTCTTTTGACTTGTAATATAATTAACAAAATATGTGGCGGTTGTTGTATAGCATTAACGCTGGTGCCATCGGCATTGCTCCTCAAGTGTACGTCTGAGAAATTGAAGGAAAATTTGCCAAAAAAATATTAAAAATTAAAAAATTACATGCATAGACTCGTTTATAATTATCATGTATTTATTAGTTATTATCAAAACTAATATTAATACTGTAACAGGGCTTTATTTGCATTTTGCTTTTTTTGAATTTTTTTATGATTTTTTTGAAATCAAACTTGATTATTCTTTATGCATATGTATTTTTTAAATTAACACATTAATATGCGCGGCTTCTCTTGGCATGTTTTTAGTTTTTTTTTTTTCACATCATTATAATAATCTGATACCCAGTTAGTCACATCATTTAAAAAATAGAAAATAGAAAATGGGATGTAAAATTTTTGGAATATGTGGCTGGTGCCGCCCCCGCGTGCCTGGGGCTGAATGCCTATTGATCTCTCAAGGCAGTTCCAATGGCCAGCATTGTCTTGGTTTTAGGGACACAGAAAGTCTTTAAGATATCTCCCATTCAATGCAATCATAAATACACGGCCGCCTCCAATGCTCTGAGCTAGTTTTGTTATCTGTGAAAGTTTAATCCATTTTGAGTCCCTCCCCGTTGTGATATATCCATGTAAAAGGTGCAATTTAGAAAAATCATTTGTTATTAGATACTATCACCGGTCTTTAATATAAAATTCTGTTTAATTTTTATTTTAGTTCTAAATATAAGACTCAAATTCACTTTGCCTCTTATATTTATATATTTTTTTCTAAAATAACCCTTCTAACAATAATAGTTTTAGTCAATACACTTGATTAGTAAGGATATTTTAGGAAAGACAACATCTATTTAGAACAAATAACTAACTCAACTTGCTTTTTTAATCTTCTCAAATTAGTCAATTGGCTCTTATAATTAGGATCAGAGGTAGTATAATTCATGATGAAAAGTCATTATATAATAATATCTATATCACTGTATGGATGGTGAATTGGTTGTGATGAATATGGATCTAATTACATGAGCATTATATTAGCTAGCGGGGATTGATGGGAGTAATTAAATACTAGTAAAGATGAAAGGGGGGTTGCATAAATGTGTGGGGAAGAGAGAGGAGGAATGAGCCACGTTATATATATGTATGATGGTCAGTATAAATATGGGAATATATCAAATCATACAGAGTCAGTGCCCCCATATCCATGATGACGTATATACACAAGGAGGGAGCAACAAATGACAATGAATAGTAACCACAGCTATTACCGGCGACGCGCGACGGCGACGATGATGCCTAATGCACACGCTTTACTTACCCATACACACACATGCATCCTTCATTCAGTGGATCTACCTAAGGGTGTTCTGGATCGAAACGATCCCGTTCCAGTCCTGTTCTCATGATCAGGACGGGACAATTTTTTTTGTCATGTGTCTTGTCCCGTTCTAATAGCGTCCCATTCAGGATAAAGACAGGGACGTCTCATCTCTCTCTCCCTATTTTTTTTAAAAAAAATTTGAAAGCTAACTATATAAGAAGTGTAAGAACTTATAATAAAAACTAGGTGAGAAAAATAGATAAAAATAAGAAAACAATGACAAAGAAAGAATGTTTTTTGTAATTTTGAGAGACAAAAATAAACAAACATAAAATATTCACTACAAAGAATATCACGTAACCCATACAAAAACAACTCATAAACAAATAAAAAATAATAGCTGATAAGTATCATTACCAAAACACTATTACACTAATAAATAAAATGAATATATAACAATTAAAAATAAAGATAATATATTGAGACTGGACCAAGACGGGATACCCCCGTCCTGTATTTCATCCCGTCTCGAAATAATTTTGTCCCATATTGTTTTCATCCTATCCTAAAAACTTTCAATCCTGCCTCAAAATGATTGGGACAGGAACAGAATATTGGGACGGGACACAGTTAAACACCTCTAGATCTACCTCCCTCCCCCTGCCACCCTTATCGTATATATTTATCCAAATGCCCGTATTTCATATATGCGTAATCATGCATGAATGTTAATTGCGTGTGCGCGTATACATATCTCGTTCACACTCTGAATTTTATATCTAATGATTTTTAACCATTTACTACTATAATTAGTATTGGTCCCTGGTTTCATTATGATGATGATAATGATGTCTTCACTTGGTTGACCCTTTTGTTTAATGGGAATCGTCAAGTAAATAAATAATCATCAAATAATACGCCTCCTCATCATAATTTTGTTTAGGATTATATGTACGTTTCGTTGATGAGTAGAAAGCATGGTATAAAATCAAAATTGATAGCAGCGGGCTATGCGCACCACTTGATGTACCGACTTCGTCATATTATCAGAATCCAACTTTTGAGACTTATAAAATCAAAAGGTGTTCGAGAATATTTAAAAGTGTTTTTAAAAAATATTTTTTCATAAAACGAGATAAACTTTTCTATATATTTATCTCATAAACTGTAAAAATATTTTTAAAACTATAATTTAATTTCTATCTAAACACCTTCCCATATATTAAAAGTGAAGGGATGGGGATATCGCTATATATAAATAAAAATGATTTGTCTGTGGCTTCAGAGGAGAGGTGAATGAGAATTGACGTGTGACGTCGGTGTTTGGGCGGGGTGATGGTCCCCTTTCCCCACTCCCCTCGTTATTTTTCTCCTTCATTTACTTTATCTTTTTTTTATCCCTTCAATATTTTCTGTAATATTTTTCTTTATTAATGTTGCGTATATCTAGGTACTACATTTTTGCCGCTTTGCACTTCCTTATAACGCGCACATTATGCAGGCATCTTTAGTATTTAATTAGAAGACGATAAATTAGTTTATGCTACTTGTGGTCTTTAATATAAAACTTAATTAATTTAAAAAGATTAAAAAATATTTAAATTAATTATTTATAATAAATAGGTAGTGTTTTTCAAAATACTCATGTTAATTTTGTGTATTAGATAAAATTATACTGTTTTCGGTTCTAATTATAAGACCTCGTTTGTGTCGTATTAGCTAAAATTACACTGCCTCCAGTTCTAATTATAAGACCTCATTTGTAAACACAAACAAGGTTTTATAATTAGGACCAGAAGTAGTAATTTGATAAAACCTTCAATATGTACAACTATAATAATGATTATTTTAAAAATAAATAAATATAAAAAATAAAATAAATGAGTTCTTATATTTAAAAGTAAATTAAAAGAAAAATTAAGTTTTTAGAGGTAGTATAAAGGAAGGGATATCCGATAAAAAGAATACAACGTTAAATCTCTCAGGTCAGAACGCATTGTGCCCTGATTTTTAAACTTGGCTGATTTATTAAATTACAAATTGTGCCACTTGTGGTTGTCCTCCTTGGATCAATATATCTTTATGAACTTTTGTGACCGCATCTCTGATTGCTGCGGCTACCGGGGGCAACGTTCCTCGCGCTAAATGCACATATTTACTGGTCATGATTTTTTTTAAAAAAAAAAAAGAGTGGCTCATAAATACTTATTTGAAAAATTAATTGCCTAATCATTCTTGAAATTAAAAGTTGGAAAAATAGTAGGTCGTACACGGTACTGGTACTTTTTGCCCAGAAAGAAACCAAACTTGATCTTTAATATAATACTATCTCTAGTTATAATTATAAGGCCTCATAGTATTATTTAACTAATTAAAATTAATTAAATTAGTTATTTATTAAAAATATGTATTGATTTTTTGAAAAATATCCTCTTAAATCGTCTACATTAAAACTACCCTTAATGTAAATTATTTTAACATGGTAATTAATAGAGATAGGTTGAAAAAAATGATAAGCATAGGTAACAAAATAAGTTGGAGTTTTATATTTGGGATAAACTCAATAATAAAGACTCAAATTAGTAAATAACATCAGATTTATGGATAATTTATCCTAAAATTAATGGACCGACGTGAGAAAGTGTGAAAAGAAGAGAGTTACCGGGGGAAGGCCCGTGGGGTTTAGTAGAAAAGGCAAACAACGTTGAAAACGCTTGATCACTGGTCATCCAACAAGCATCACGAGGTCTTAATTAGGTTTAATTACTTCCTTCTCTCTCTCTCCCCCCACATATTCCTGCAATTCATGAACCACCCACATGTCCACCATTCGAACTACTTTCCCGATCTCATTCCTGTACGGCCCAACCTTCCTTATTGCTTCAAATCCCCTTTACCACTTCACGTTTTCATGTCTCTCCAACTCATTCCCCCATTTCTCTTCCCTCTTTCATTAATTCTGACTTTCTTTTTGGCTAATGAATCCAGCAACTCACTTAATTAAAGAGTGCTACTGTTAAAATAGAAAATCGTTAACAGATCACACTGTTCATGACACATAAAACAAGTTACCCAATGACCTAATGCCATTTTGCAAACGTAAAGATGGATTCTTTCATGATAAATGGTAATGTTTCTGGTTGCTTCCGCAATGAATGGGGGTAAAGGGGAAAAACGGGTGTGGAAAGAGGTTATTAAGAAAGCGAGATATAATAGGCATCCCTTAGCTGACTTTTGCCATCCCTTTGAGTAAATGCTGTTTGCTGTCCCTTTTGACTCTTTTCACTCTCTTACCCTATGCCCCCTGGGTCAGCCTGCCCCACTCTTCCCCCCGCTTCATTTCTCTATATATATGCCCCTTTCACATGTGGTAGCCCCTTAACCCCAAGCTCTTCTTCTCGGCCCTCTCAAACAGAGTACCCCAGCCCCTGTTCACCGCACGCGCACAGACTCAGAAACAGAGAGGTAGATATCTCGTTAACCGTATGTAATGGGAAGGCCACCTTGCTGCGACAAAGTTGGGATCAAGAAGGGCCCTTGGACTCCCGAAGAAGACATAATTTTGGTGTCTTATATTCAAGAACACGGACCCGGCAATTGGAGATCTGTTCCCACTAACACAGGTCCATTACTTCACCCTACCTTCTCTTCCTCTGTTTATTTGCTTCCCTGTTTTCCTATTTCATGGCTAGATCATGTCCAACTTGTCAATTTTGGTGTGAATTTCAGGTCTCATGAGATGCAGTAAAAGTTGCAGACTCAGATGGACCAACTATCTTCGTCCTGGTATCAAGAGAGGCAACTTCACCGATCACGAGGAAAAGATGATCATCCATCTCCAAGCTCTGCTCGGCAACAGGTACTTCAAATTTGGACTTATACAAATATATAACACCTCTCTGCATCACTTTGGTTTCATGTGAATTGACTCGAGAATTGACATATTTTGTCCGTGCGTGCAGATGGGCTGCTATAGCTTCGTATCTCCCACAGAGGACGGACAATGACATAAAGAATTATTGGAACACCCATTTGAAGAAGAAGATGAAAAGGCTTCAGACTGGGACGGAAGGTGACGACGAAGAAGACGACTCGTTCTCACAGCCCAAGGGCCAGTGGGAGAGAAGGCTTCAAACGGATATCCACATGGCCAAACAGGCTTTGTGCGAGGCTCTGTCTCTGGACAAGCCAACTGAGACCGAAAACAAGCCCCCCAATCCCACAGTCCAAACATCCCCTTACGCATCAAGCACCGAAAACATAGCCCGATTACTCCAGAACTGGATGAACAAATCCCCAAAGAACCCAACACAACAAACAAATTCACCGCCAGGACCCCGCTTCATCAACTCGGGCACATCAGGTTCCAGTTCGTCCGGCGAAACAGCGACATATAATAGCAGTAGTAACAACACTGTGCTAGATTCTGTATGGAGCTTCAAGTCTGATACTTCTCAACAATCTGGGTCTGTGGACGACAACACCATCAACAGTATGTTCCAAGACGAAACCAAGCCGAGCTCGGAGTCGCAGCTTCCTCTGACTCTAATCGAGAATTGGCTCTTCGATGATGGGGTAGCTCAGAACCAGGATGACCTGATCAACGACTCGGTCCTTCTGGAAGAAACTAGTCCACAATTGTTCTGGAAGAAAACTTAAAGCTTGAGCCAGACAGGGGTTATGCTTGTACGAGTCAAAATCACGTCATTAAACTACAGAAAACGGATATTAATATGTCCTAAGAATCGCATTCCGTGTGAGTAAGGCTCGAAGGTTTCTTTATTTTTTCTTTTTTGCTTGGTTGTTTTAGCCTTTTAGGTCCCTCAGCTTAGAACTTTCCCTGAGTAAGAACGGAAGATGACCCTTTCTTACTCTCCAGACAAAGTGACAAACAAACCAAAGTGTACATTACAGGTTTCTCCTATATCATCCTAAAGATATGTACCAAATAATCAATTTTTACATACATACATATATATGTGTGTGTGTATATGTTCTCCTCTACTTATACAACTAGTATGTGTGTGAATTTTTGAGCTCTTATCATTTCAGGATTTTTTTTTAATTTCTATCAATTTTATGCATGTGTGTGTTGTGTGTTTATTTTAATGGTATTAAAGAGTATAATTGAATAGCAACCAGCGGTTATCACTTACCGGTGCTTCACGGCTCAACATATGATATATGTAAATATATATATCTCTGTGTGTGTGTGTATGTATATATATATATCTTCAGCCTTTTGCATGTGAAAAGGAGTTTCAGAACTGGCTGAGATTCGCTCTTCCTTCATCCATTCGTGGAATAATAGTTAAAAATAATAGAACAATTATTTATAAAATATAATAAGGATAATAAATGACACCGAACTAGAATCGACTTGAGTATTTGCGGGAGCGGTTTTTTAAATTTGTTGAGATATATTATTGATAAGTATATAATATAATATAAACGGCTTGGAGGTGAGGGGAGGAAAGCATGATGAGGTGAGGTGTTCGCTACTTGCTGTAATGTCGGCCAACAGTTACTTATAAGCATCCTTGATATTTATTTTCAATCAAATGAAATTAATAAGTAAATTTAAAATTTAAAATTAGTATAAAAAATAATTGTTATTCAACGAAGAAGAAATTAATATGGCCAGCAAGTCTTCATAAATGTTTAATAAAAGATCGAGGAAACCAATGGTAATAACCATGCATGTAGTGTACCTACCATCTCATAAGCATTTTTTTTTAAAATATATTTTCTAATTGAAAAACAAAGTATTTAATTTCATCGTGATTTCAGACTCTAAATCCTTGGTCACAAATGGAACCGAAAAGTATAGTTGGCCTAGTGACATTAGGTAGAGCTTCCAGACAAACTTGCTTGTAATTTTGATGAGTCTCAAATCTCAGTGGAGAACACTAATCATCAGCTAAAATTCCGACTCAAATTCAAATTAGGCATGGCAGCCATTAGCTTCACAGACAATGGATGAGAAAGCCAATCTAGTGAAATTCCAATTATGCCATTCGTTACTTTGGTGATATAGTAATATATTTAATTATAGTGCTTAGTGCTTCCCCATTTATTGCTGATTTTTTTTTTTGCCCAAATGACTGGCAACCTATTATTAATTGATATATGTATAAAGGCGAATTTTTGTCGAGGCTGTGGCAACAAAACTTGGGATTAAAAGGGTTTGGGCATGACCTAAAGTACAAAGCAGAGTGATAATTAAAGTGAGAATGGTGACGACGTTAAAGGCTTAAATTAAACAAACACAACCACGGGGGCTTCTATGGTTGGATAAGATCAGCGGAGGACCCATGAGAGAGATGCTTTTGTCAAAAGTATTAATGGCAAGAACAGCGACTGCTACTAGTCATTCTTAACCAAGTGCTTAGTCATACTTGGGTGAATTAATTATATCACTGGAAGAATCAAAAATCTCAAAAGCCCACCATGGTTCTGTTCTGTCCTTGATTGGTCGGCATCCCTGATCATATCATTCCTTCTCTGTGCGTGTGTGTGTGTGTGTTTTGGTTTCTTGAGGTGAGTGACGGATAAATGTTGGGAAAGAGGAAGAGAAAGTGCGAATGGGAAGAGAGAAACCACGGAGGGAATAAAGAAGGAATATATGAGAGGCTGAGATTAGAGATGCAGAGTTCGGGATATGAATGTAGCTAGGATCTGAGAAATGTGAGAATGAAAGAGGGCCAAGTGTGGCGTCTTGGGAATGAGAAAGAGGCAGAGAGAGAGAGGCAAGTGAAGGAGGGGGTTTGACTTTGAGGGGAGAGAGTAGGAATCCATGGGGGCCGGGACGTGAAATTACCCATAAACGGGGGATCAAAATTAAAGAGGGCAATGCACATATATTCATGAATGCCACAAAAATTGTCCAATTACACGCACGCTTCCATTTGTTCCCTTCACCTTCCTTGTCGTCTGACCTTCCCTCTCTACTTACTCATTCAAGCCGTGGCCCTATTCTCACCCCCCCCCCCCCCGGGAGCTCCGAGCATCCTTTCTCAATGGCAGATATTAATCTGACCAGGCCTGATTCTTACCTAAAAAAATTCAGAATCCAATCCTAACCGCTTACTAGTTTTATAACATTTTTTAATATTATACTACTTATGTTTATTTTATTATTGGAGTTAAACTTCATAATTTTTATTTTCATTTTTTCTCGTTGTTCTCTCTCTCTCTCTCTCTCTCTCTCTTCAAATCAAGCCTGCGTGAATAAAAATTGAACTAGACTATTTTTCATCAAATAGATGCATATAAGTTAAAAAAGAATCAGGCAGGACTTTCATGCATTATATGGATCAGACGATTTAAAATTTGCGAATTGATTGCATGGATTGTATTGTCATGATCATGAATTTTATATTCTATACTCCTCTGGTCTTATTTATAAAGTACAAAGAGAAATTTTTTGTACTGATGTATAATTTTATCCTTTATTTATTATTATATTAACTTTGTTTACTTGAGGTATAATGTATATTAAATATGGATATAAGTTTAAAAGTTATTGAATTTTAAATGAAAACTAACAAAGTTTAAAATTTTTCTTGATTTGTACGAAACATGTTGAAAATAACTTATAAATAAGATTAGAATAGTAATTAATGCTGATAATTGATGGATGTATAAGGACTTGCATATATGCAACTAACTTTGGATATTTCAATTGCAATTTACTCCTCTGGTCCTATTTATAAGGCATTTCCAACATATTTCACACAGACCAAAAAAAACCTTAAACTTCATTAACTCTCATTTAAAATTTAATAACTTTCTAACCTTATTCTTATTTAATATACATTACACTTCATATAAACAAAATCAACACAATAATAAATGAGGGGTAAAATTGTGTATTTATACAGAAAATTTCTCTCAGTGCCCTATAAATAAGATAAAAAAGTACATTCTCTCTGTCTTATGAATAGGACAAGAGGAGTAAGGCAAAGACAATCATACTTTGATAAACTTTATTTATTAGTAACTTTCTTAACTAGCGTACATAATCTGAAAAAGTAACTGTTCTGATCCGATGGAATTACGAACACTCTGGTGTGTTTGGGATCAAGTGATCCCAAAAGTACTTCTACACCGTGAAAAATAGCTTCTGATCATTTTTCTGTTTGGATCTGCGACAGTCTAATAAGCTCTTTTCCCCTCTATCGCGCGGTGGAGCAGAAGCCACTAAAAGTGGCTTTTCTGGCGCATCACAGTGCGGCAATATTATAGCTCCTTAAATTTTTGTTGCTGCTGCCATCAGGGACGAATTGAGGTGGCAGCACTGAGGTGAAGTGAGAAACAGATTAGAGATGTTGGAGTTAAAAAAAAAAAAGCTGGAACCTTTTTATTTTATGTTAAGATATCTTTTTATTTGTTATTTTATTATCTAAAATCTTATGTTCAGATAAGTTAGCCCAAATACCTCTAATCTCAAGGGATTATTCAAATATATTTGCATCTTTTTATTATATTTATTTTTATTATTTAAAATTTATATACATTTTTTATCCATTAAACATATCTAATTAAGTACTTTAGAACTATTTTTATTTTTATAATTTGTTAATTTTAATATTTCTCTTAAAATTTTCACATTATATACATAATATATATATGTCATTTAATAAAATTTATGTCATTTTATATCTAAACTTACTTTTTCATTACTCATCCAAACAAGTTTTAGCTGCTCAAACTGACTTATTTATAAAAGCCAATCCAAACATAAATCACATTATACTATCTGACTTTTATCAATTTGACTTCTGTAAAAGTCAGATTGCAAAAAAAGTTACTTTTTCACCGCTAATCCAAACACACCCTCTGTAAGTTTGAGAAGAAGCTTTTGAAAAGGATGAAGGATGCTTACACTGCTACACAACATTTAGGGTACACACGTAGTAATATGAAAATATGCTATATATACTAATAATCAATCTGCAAATACAAGCAGTGATTAAGAGCGTGGAACATGAAGTAGCAGTTGTTGGAAATTGTGCCCCAGGGCTAATCATTATGTTATGAATATTGTGATTTATGAATTTATTAATTACGTTATCATATTATTTGCATGTTTACTGTGATGACTATCCTTGGATAACTCATGATTTATTCTAAATGTCCCTGGTCGGTCATCTATGTGGGAGCATAGATGAAATAAGACCAGTATGACTTTAAAGATATATAGAGATATAAATTAAAATCATAGGCACATGTAAGAGTACAAGGTGTTGGACCGACCTGCTATGAGAGAGCTGCATGGGTTAAGTCATAAGCTTCTCTCATATACAAACCATGTCACTGTGCCCTTTGACCTGAGATCATCATGGATTCCTACATGAGAAACGCTCAGCTTTGACCTAGTCAAAAGTCACTTTTGACCGAGTGATCATAAAGACTATGTTCAGGCTTAGTGGTTTTTCATGCGGAGGAATGTGAATGGTCAAGATGGAATTTGTCCCTCACATTCGTAGAGAGATATTACTGGGCCCCTCGATGAGTGAGTCTGAGAAATGTATGGCTATACTATAATGGAAAGGTAGTTCCGTTTCTATACTCAGACTACTCAGGGATCGAGAAAGTAATGGTCATGAATAAGAGGATGATGTTCTCCATGCCTCATCCATGACCAAAATGTCTATGATAAAAGGGACGTGATATGGTTGTATGAAAGGTTACATCGTTCAACGATCCTCATATGATTTGGGTAGTCGTGATGTCTTGCTAGAGACCGCTTACGACTTGTGAGTCATTATAGTTAATGGCCCACTACCAACTTCATATGGGCCTATAGGGTCTCACCCAAAATAGCCCAACACGAGTTATGATGTCCAGATTCATTAAATCTAAGATATGTCCAGATTCAATGAATAATATAGGGTGGACGTGTATATATATATATATAAATTCATATATATATACATATTATATAAATATAAGAGATATTAATTGTTAGATTTAATTTATAAGGATAAATTAAATCTATATAAATTAATTCCGTCATATCTTTATTTTGAATTAAATAAATA